TACTGATTAACTCAAGATGAGCCGTGGATACGATGTTTGATATCTGTAGATATGGGAATCAGAGCCTAGGCTATCTGCTTGGTGAGGCCAGTGTACGTAGTACTAAAGATGAGATAAATAGCTCCTGAAGTAAAACGTATACTATGAGCTGAACCGAATGAAATCAATCAACGAGTAAGAAAAGAAACGAATCTGTTGGAGATTCAGATAAAAGGTCAGAGTCGGATCGAGAAAGAAAGAGGACAAGGTAAACAGTAGATGTGATGACACCACACTAAACTCGCCGAAGAGGCACGCTACTAGAGAAGTCGGATATAAACAAATCACATGTGATAAAGCAGAAGTGAGACACGAGGTCAGACAGTAGGTAGATTTCACGGGACAGAAAATGATAACACAACCGTTCGGCAGAAAGCTATTCAAGGGATTTACTTTTCTTTGACAAGTTAATGCTTGGTGCTGATAATGACAAGGCTCACTGACGATGATGACTATGATGCTGACAAAGGAGTTCAAATAAGGTGCGTCGAACTAGGTCGCCTTGACAACACGACTAAGTTGCGAGAACGGGGTCAGACCATTTCTATTCTAAATGAATTTTTTTCCCTAGCCAGATGATGTGTTCTCTTACTAACTGAATTATTTAAACGAATTAAAATGAGTGATTGGAAGTTACGTTGTGAGGGAGCAAAAAAATCGTTAAAAATTATGCTTCCCGAAGTATTATGAAATAGTTGTTTATACAATTATATGGCCAATTATTAGTCAAAGGTAAAATATCACATTATTGTTTCTATGAGATGCCTCCTTATCTTTTATAGTCAAAGTGGAGTACATTAGAATGTTGCCTACTTTACAATATTTATAGATATGCATATACAATAGTATTCAGAGTAGATACAGGTTTGTGGGCTTATACAGTCCAACCAAACTCAATTTCAGTAGTTGTATTATGTAATAATCAACGATAATCAACACAATAAATTATATCATGAATTATATGTAGCTAGAATATTTATACAAAAACAACTCTAAAACTGAATAGCTATGATAAGATAAGATCTAAAAGCATTATTCTAAATAGCTGATTGAAATTAAGTGTTAATAGAGGTATATGTTAGTATTAGCATGAGGTTAGCTACATTCGTTGTATACCTACCTCCTTCAATGATAATCCGAGTATCTGCAGTACCAAAAGGACCAACTACTGACATGGGGACATACGACACCCGTGCATGAGGGCAGCCGGTGGCGGCCTTGGAAACCGAAGCCACGAGAGTCTTGCCCCCAACACATATGCCCATAGCTTGTGGAGCACAAGTGGAAGCGTTGCCAAAAGAGTCTTCCGCAGACAAGTTGCGCAGTCGGAATGCTGAAGTAGGACGCAAAATGATAGTATGGAACTTAAAAAAGGACTTCATTGAAAATATGTGCTGAGCTTTAAATTTGGAGTAGGAAAGCAAAGATGATGGAACAGTGTAGCATCGTTTCCATATTTCAGTCACAAAGGGTCGCAACGGAACAAGGAGAGCGATGGAGAATAGTCGATAGGCTAGTTTCTGTTGT